AGACGCCAGATTCTTCCAATAATCACTTGAGGTAAGTATTAATTTACACTGTTACAGTATGCCCTGTTCTTCAGATACGGTACAATTCTAGTACTATACTTCGATGGGTAGCTTGAAAATATAAATGACTTGATAATCTTTTATTCAGCCGATGTTTCGGTGACCGTCCGTCACCTTCCTCAGGGCATTTCTCAGGGTGACACCTGTGCTGCAATGCAATGTGAACCAGTCAGACTTGCTAGCCTCCACCAGGCCTTTCTACGGGAATACGGATCGTAGAATTCGGCCAAAAAGAGAGTAAAATTAGCCAAGGGAGTCCGGCCGCGGGGAGGTAGTTTCTACTAGGCCAGTCAAACCTACAAGGCGGCCAAACTCCCCTGGCAAATATTGCCCTATAGATAGCCAGCGTAGTTAGTCTGATAGAGACTACAGAATTGCCATGAGGAAGGTGACAGACGGTCACCGAAACGCCCGCTGAATAAAAGACTTGGTTGTGTAGTTAGCTGTATCAAAATTAGTGTCTGTCAGGATGCAAAGGACTATGTATGATAATGATAAACATTCGTTCAGTACATGCAGCTGCTGTCTTGCCATGTGCCTGCGAAGCTAGTGCATTATTAATATTAGGCAAAAGACCCTGTCACACGTTCAGAACCATCCCCCAAACACCAAAACACCAACCGACCAAGGTCGGCTGAAGTTCGGGAGCATTCTGATCATACAGATACAGAATGCAACAGTGCAAGTAATGCTTGGGAAGAAAAAATAAGAAATTCTATTTCAAGCACACGTGAAACGTATTCTTAATATTTGTGTACAGTGCATGCAGTAGGACATAAGGCCACAGCAAGTAAATTTTATGGATGACATCTAATGCGAGCGGGCGACAAAAAAAATAAGACGGGCCGAAAAAAACAAGGTTCCTACATTTTAAAATTTTGACTTAATCATGGTACAAATGGTTTTTGGAACATCACATATACACAGTAAACATAACATGTCCCTCATCAAAGTAAGAAACAAAACATTGAATCAGAGCCTTTTCTTGACTCCTATCTTCATAGTTATCTGCCATCCACCTTCCGGCATGGCAACAGACATCTTCGCCCATTTTCGGCATGTTGACCACTGTAAGAAGGCAACAAAATTTCTTGTTTTTTTTTCCAAAATCAGCCGAAAACTAATGCGCGCGCTGATGTCATCCATGAAAACTACTTGCTGTGGCCTTATGCGTACTTTGTATTGTTAGTTCCGGGACTATAGTAACCTTAATGTGTGCAAAACAACATTGCAGGAGCCAACCCAAGGACGTCGAATTTTTACAATATGTGTCATTTTGTGTTTTTTTTTATTCCAACATGTAATCACCAGACGTGGTGACGGCACAATCGAGTTTTTTTAAAACTTATATTAATGCCGCCACCAACACAGGGGACAATACAATACTCATTTTCACCTGAGTTAAGTGAGGAAAGCCGTGTAAAGTGCCTTTCCCAAGGGCACAAGATCGGTGGCATGTAAGGACTCGAAACCGGGACCTCTAGGTTCCGAGTCGCTCACTCTGCCGCTACACCACACGACCCCACATTTTGTGGTTTGAATCTGGCTGTAAATTTCAACTTGTTTGGTTGTACTACTTTTTCTGAGAGAGTGGAATACGAAATAATGTGTGGGTTTTGTGATGTTAAGAGGAGAATAGTTTTCTTCTTGTCTTAAGGATGAAAAATTGGGATGGAATTTGTTGATATATTAAAGCTTCATTCTCTCGTGAGCATAAAATGGACAGTTTGAAATAGTATTTCGTCTTCAATCGTAGTTACAATATTAGTAAAGAAAAAAATGCATGCCCCATGATATTATACCTTCATCTTCTAAGCCTTTACGCCTGTTGCGTGCGAATTATAATACATGTTTCTCATTTAGCATGCTGACAACATCAGATCCTGATTTGCATGAATGGTATTAAGTTAATCATATTCTCCACCGAACGAAGAAGGCTATTCTACCATTTCCTCATATGCACTGATGAGACTTAGTGAGCCTAGCATGTCGAGCTTACGAGATATCGAGACCGGAAGTCTCGCTGCAGTAACATAAAAAGAGATCTGAGATCACATACCTCCATGAAATATGGGCTTGACGTGTAAATGTAAATTTCCTCTTTAATTATGCAAATGACCTCCACATTAACATAATTAATGTATCGTGATGTTAACTTTTGATGAATTTACAATTTACACCAAGTAGGAAATTCCCATCATTTACCCATTGAATTTTGCATTAATTATGCAAATGTGGTCATAATTTGCATTATTGGTATCTGTTGATGTTCCATCTGCCAAAGATTACATACATTACATGTATTAAAGTACTACAATGTAAAACACTGTAATTAGAGAATTTTCCTCATTTATTATGCAAATAAAGTCCTCATTTGCATAATTTGCATTAAGTTATGTACATCTCTCTCAGCTACCTACCTACCTACCAAAAATGATGAAAATACATTGTTCCTGTCTGGACCTATTGGCTTTTAAAGATTTTCCCCCGAAAGTCCCCTGCAGTTTCAGAACAAGCTGCTAGGGGGACCAAACCCACACCAATTATTCCTGGCAGGACAATCTATCTGTCACCCAAAAATCAAGACCATAACATGTTCAGGACAAAAGATACAAAAACCGGAAGTTCTGCTGCAGTACCAAGGTCATCCACCAGGAGGCCCATATTTGACCTTGACCTTTGGCTTCCTAAGACCTACCAGCATACCAAATATCATCACAATCCATAAAGGCGTTATGGAGTTATGCTGACTACAAATATGCGGAAACTCAAACACACACATAGACGCGCCAAAAACAATACCTCCATTTTCATGGAGGTAACTAGATCTCAGTGCCAAAATTACGTCAACACTGGGTGTCCATCCACCCTAACACTCAAATTTTCCACATCATAGCGCACAGAGGTCGCCTTATTCCCTGAGGAAGAACCTCTCATCAATCAAACCAGGTCGCAAGCCCGGGGCAGCCTCGACACAATCAGACATCTGTTACCCTGTCTGGCAGACTCCTCATTAAACCGGAAGTGCTGCTGCAGTACCAAGGCCATCCATCAGGAGGCCCATATTTGACCTTGACCTTCGCCCCCCTAACACCTACCAGTATACCAAATATCACCACAATCCATAAATGCGTTATGGAGTTATGAAGGTACAAAAAAGCGGAAACACAAACACACATACACACACACACACACACACACACACACACACACACACACACACACACACACACACACACGCACACAGACGCGCCAAAAACAATACCTTCCATTTCATGGAGGTAAAAAGACGCCAGGGAGACCAAAATCTTACGAGTTGGAGGTCCAATGCAAGCTTAAGGTGTCAGAACACAGTTTTCGCACTACGGGGATTCCTATAGGTAAGCACCCCGAGGTGACTCACTTCGACGCGGTAAAAATTATACTAGGGTGCACTAGAGAACCATGGCCAACTAATATGTTGAAATATATGGTATATTCTACAAAATAACTGAAAACCAAAAAAAAGGTTATCGTTTTTTAACATAATGACGACCAGTTTGATTTGGCCCTCTACCGGGGTCAACGGAACTGCAGCCGGCTCACCCTGGAACGTGGTTGCGTAATGCCGCGCATTTATGCACGAACAGGGAAATCTTCACAATCCAACTCATACGGTGTACAAGCCGATACCTTTCTATACCACACAGCGCAGTCCATTCATGGCTACCTCTCACATAAGTCGCTCTAGCCAGGTTGCAAGAGGTTTGCCTGCACTACTCTCTATACCCGCGTCACAGACCCGGGGGTCGCCCATAAATACTGTGTTCTGTGGCCTCAACATAGTATACTAAACATCAAGACGAGAGAGACATACTAAAAACAAAACCTCCATTATTCATGGAAGTAAGCATACCTTCTTGCCTGGCGAAGGTAACTAGTGCTACCTGCCTCATGTATAGACAGAAGAGACCGGGAAGATCATGCTGTTGTCGCGGGTGCGGATGCTGTTTGTCCGGCAAGTCGTGCTGGTCTGCATGGTCGTGTCGATGTTCCTCAACTTTTGGATGTTAACCGGTAAGTGCACGAATGCCTACCCTCCAAACATAGATATCACACACACACACACACACACACACACACACACACACACACACACACACAAACACACAAACACACACAGACAAGCGTCTTGTAGTCAGGCTAGCGGGGTCTGACAAATGGAAGGGCTGCTAGATGGGTCATGTAGTCAGGCTAGGGGACTGGCCAATGAAAAGGCTGCTAGAAGCGTGATGTAGTCAGGCTAGGGGACTGGCCAATGAAAAGGCTGCTAGAAGCGTGATGTAGCCAGGCTAGGGGACTGCCCAATGAAAAGGCTGCTAGAAGTGTGATGTAGCCAGGCTAGGGGACTGCCCAATGAAAAGGCTGCTAGAAGCGTGATGTAGCCAGGCTAGCGGACTGGCCAATGAAAAGGCTGCTAGAAGCGTGATGTAGTCAGGCTAGGGGACTGGCCAATAAAAAGGCTGCTAGAAGCGTGATGTAGTTAGGCTAGGGGACTGACCAGTGAAAAGGCTGCTAGAAGCGTGATGTAGCCAGGCTAGGGGACTGTCCAATGAAAAGGCTGCCAGAAGCGTGATGTAACCAGGCTAGGGGACTGGCCAATGAAAGTGCTGCTAGAAGCGTGATGTAGCCAGGCTAGGGGACAGGCCAATGAAAAGGCTGCTAGAAACGTGATGTAGCCAGGCTAGGGGACAGGCCAATGAAAAGGCTGCTAGAAACGTGATGTAGTCAGGCTAGGGTACTGGCCAATGAAAAGGCTGCTAGAAGCGTGATCTATTCAGGCTACCAATGACGTTTACTCAGGTACCGAACTTCAGAACGAGACCGCACACGGCGACCTCCAGAAAGCGGTCCAGACTTGTGAACTCCAGAGAGAAATGCTGATAGACTCTTTAGCCACCATGAACGACACACTGCGCAGAGAAAAGGCCAAACTAAAACGGTCCACAGAGCAGGTAAAGGAGAGTACATTATGGAAAGAAATAAAGGTTGATTAAAGTGAGAGGCAACTCATTAGAACCATTACACATTTACATTAGATAAAGTTATTACAGATCAGATTATACAAATGAGACAAAATATTTCTTGACATTTTGCACTACAGAAGGATACTACCTCACCCCCTCCAGCCAAACCGGGCAGACAGACTTTAGCTGACACCGACTCAGTACTGATAGCGGGCAGGCATCGTCAACACAAAGGTATTTTGAGAAATCCGTAAATAATTTCAAAAAACATTCAAATCAGGTTGGTAAACGAAGTTCTTTGATCACAACCATAAATTTATTTTTTTTTACGAGCCGACGTTTCGATGACCGTCTGTCATCTTCATCAGGGCAATTCTGACTGGTTTACTGTGCACTGACGCTAGATGTTACTTGGTGCATAGTGCACTAAAGGTGTAACAGTGCACTACTGTGGACCATGTAACACCTTTAGCGCACTATGCACCAAGTAACATCTAGCGTCAGTGCACAGTAAACCAGTCAGAATTGCCCTGATGAAGACGACAGACGGTCATCGAAACGTCGGCTCGTGAAAAATAAATGGTTGTGATCAAAGAACTTTGCTATTCGTATTTTGAGAATGTTTTCAAATCTCCAAGCAGATCTTTCGGTGGCAAAATTCGTGACCAACCGACAAGACACTATCAATTCAACCAATTCTTGAACACTCTCTGGCGCCTATGGCCAGTTTGACAGTGTCTTGCTGATTGGTTGCGACTTTGTCAGACACCGAAAAAATCTGTTTTGAGATTAGACGCATGCATTTGGAATTCCATCTCAATCAGATTAAGCGTCCTTTTTTTTACCACTGAGCGACTGAAATTTCATGTATGTGACCCTTGATTTTATATTTGGGATCACCTGTATGATGTATTTGGCGTCGTGTGGTGTAGTGGCAGAGCTTTCGACTATGAAGCGGGGAGACCCGGGTTCGATTCCGAGTCGTACCCGGGACATGTCTGGACATTGGACATGCGCCCTGACGTTGTGCCTTTGGGAAAGACACTTTACACGAATTTCCTCACTCCACCCAGGTGTGAATGGGTACCTAACTTCGGTTGGGAAAAGTCGTATTGAAGTCACCTTGTGGCGCCGAATGGCAGCCACACAGACCCTTGCGACAGTTCCACCTTATGTGATACCCTGTATCAATTCAGCTTTAAAAAGGCTGCGACTGCACGGGAATTGTTTGGACAATAAAAACCATTTATTATTATAATTTTATTATTATTATTATCATTATGATGCCAAGGGATGATTTAAAGGCAACACATGCAATTTTATGGTGGCTAAACAAAAATATTTTGGATGAGCGCATCTGTCTAATATTGACAATTATTGCCATTTATTTGTGTATATTGCGCGTTATGAAGACACCCAATGCAGTTTTGCGATTTCAGTGCAGTTGACCTGAATTTTCAACGTCAAATTTCTGAAGCTGTTTCGTTGTCCTGAAATTTCACCTTTTTTTACGGTGTCGCTCAGTGCAAGGCCAATTATTTTTTGCCACTTCTAGGGCTAGAGGTATAGAACAGCAACTCTTCTCCCTGAGTCAGAAACATCATGATTGAGACGAGCCCAATTTCTCACAACTGATCCAATAGGAGAAGCAGGGGTTACGGGGCTGGTCGGGAAAATTCCCTACCCCTTTTTTTAGACTATAATGGTTTGTTCCACTTCCACTCACGTGGGTTCTTTAACGTGCTTGAGGTGTGTCTCTCCTCAAACACGTGACCTCCATTTTAACGTCCCATCCGATAAGACGCCCCTAACCGAAGCTAGGTACTCATTTTCACCTGAGTGAAGTGGGGATAGTCGTGTAAAGTACCTTTCCCAATGGTACAACGTCGCGGCGCATGTTCGGACTTGTTCGGGTACGACCCGGAATCGAACCCGGTTCTCCCCGTTTCATAGTCCAGTGATGTACCACTACACCACCCGACACAAAATCATTATTTCATGCCTGAGGCTATTGACAGGATCGTCCTGTCAATAGCAGAAAATATTGCACTGCTGACAGGACGATCCTGTCAATAGCAGAAAATACTGCACTGCTGACAGGACGATCCTGTCAATAGCAGAAAATACTGCACTGCTGACAGGACCATCCTGTCAATAACAGGAAATACTGCACTGCTGACAGGATCGTCCTGTCAGCAGTGCCATTTTTGACACTATTGACAGGATCGTCCTGTCAGCAGTGCCATTTTTGGCACTATTGACAGGATTTTTTAAATCTTCCATTTTGGGCTGTATTGACATGATTTCTTCATGTTTTAATTTTTTTTAACCATGTTTTCATTTTTTTTCAGTCAGAAGGCATATGCTACTGTACTGTAGATTAGGCGTTTCACGATGGCGGCTATCATCGCGTTAACAGCTAGTTATTATCATTACAGAGTACTCCAGCAGATACATGTCAAAACTAGACATGCTCAAAATATAAATATAGGCGAATTTCACGCATAAGCTGTCTGAAATACGAAGGCAGTTGTGTTTACATAGTTTTTCGAGTAAACAGGCGGGCAAACTTTTTGCGAGCTGTGATTGGCCAAAAATCCCCCCCCCCCCGGCCCGATCGATACGTCTGCTTGGATCCTTGCATGACAATGGAATCTAAAACCGGCATTGGAAAGGGCATCCACAAATTCTATGGCATTGTCTGTATAGTTGAAATTTATGTTATGTACCAGTAGATGCCATACTTTGTACGCTGTACTATTGTTGTGCAATATAGTTATCATTTATGTCTCCTCAATATTGGAACAGGACTCCTACCCGGCCTGAACAACTCTACTCTACTCTACTCTACTCTACTCTAATATGATGATGACATTACGCAATACAGTTCTTCTACAACTGACTGGACAGGAGGACCTAGAAGTAACAGTGACTATTTACGATTTAGATCTATTTAGTCTCCACCAGACTCTTTTGAAGTCTGAATAAATTGTAGAAATCGGCATAAAAAGAGTATAGCTAGCCAGGGGAGTTGGTCGGCCATAGAGGGTCGACTTTTTATTTTTTTCTACTATTTATTCAGCCTGCAAAAGAGTCTGGTGGAGACTACGCAGGGAATACCGTACTGTTGTGTTGCCCGCCTACTCGGCTGATCGGAGACCCCAGGGCCTGGGGGACCCCTTCACTCATCAGTAAGCTATCACCTTGGGGTCCCCTCATGGACCAAGCAACACACGTCTATACTTAAATAACTGAAGGAAGTCAATTTGCTGGAATTCGT